CTGCATGACGACTTGATGGGTCGCATGTTGGCACGGCTGGTTGGCAATGATGGCTTTATGGGCCACAAAGTTGTCAATCGGTTTGGACGACGACAAGCCTGTCGCTTGTCTGATGTCCGCCAGAACCAAAATCCAACTATATCCCAACAGGAACGGTACATTTGCACGGCTTAATCATATGACATGGTCATGGGAATAGCATGCATGTTAGCTTCAATTGCCGCTTTTGTCTGGGACAAGAAGTCAGCTTTGATTCTTTGTTGGAAAGATCGTAGCTCCATAACATCAGTATACATTACACTTCCATATTGGTGATGCATGGTTGCATAAGCATTGTTCAATATTTGTTCAAATTTCTGCCAGTACATAGCAGGACGTTTTTCTCCTGCATAGAAAAGTGTTGCAATGATGTTTCCAGCTGCCATGACGTCATGAGCAAAAATGCCTTCAGCTTCATAAAATGCCTTCAATGCGAAGATGCAGGTGAGGGAAATATATTTTGCTCACCCGCAGGTGAGGGAAAGTGAGGGAAATTAATAGAATCCTCATGGGGAGAGAAGGTCATTTGGATGGATCCTTAGCCAATCAAATAACCAAAAATGTTTTCAGAAAATTCGAATGTTAAGTATCATTTAAAATATTAAAATACGGCCCGGCCCGCAAGGACATAATGTAATGACCTTGGAGTGACCTTGGAACTAGATTAGACCCTTTGGAGGTACAGACATAGCTTTAGGCCTAACTCTCACGTCACTCCTTTCTGTGGCTTTCTGAGGGACTCTATAACTTTTGTTGTGACCCATTCCTATCTCTTCTTCTAGGCTGGTTCACTATTCGAATAGCCATAAGGCTTAGATTGAAGAGTATGCTCTCACACACACAAACAATTGCCATTTGATTTGATCAAAAAACCTTGATCCTTTCAGATTTACAACAAGTTTTACACTCCAGTACTTTTTCTACGATGGCTTCTACGCACATGCTCCTATGCACATGCTCCGTCAAACCATCATTGTCAATGAGGGCGACTCTCCATTGGCATACAAGTCCAGGGAAGTCACTAATCCAGTGATGCAATATGTCAGTTTTTTCGACAACAACTTTGAGCGCAAGCGAAAGGTTGAAGTTTGGAATGGTGCAAGTGGAAAGAATGTTGAACCACTCCTCAGGTCCATTCAATCCTTTCGCAACATTGCTTCAGAGTGGGGACTCAATCAGGGTCGTCAAAAGAAGGCCTTGTTCAAGCAATTCCTCACTGCTGAACCGCACATGACCTATCAGAGAATTTCTGATACTCATGGGAACTCAGTTCAGGACTTTGAAGACTCTGTTGATGAGTTCATTTGCGAATACACTGGTGAAAATCCCAAGTATCAGGCGAACATGTATCTCTTTGACACTTCCAATCACATTCGCAAACCGTATAATACAGAAATTGGAATTCACACAAATCGCTTGAAAACCCTATTTATGTATCACAATATACTTCCTAGAAATTGTTCCAACGTGAACGATGAAAACGATCCAGCGCAAATCCGGAATAGAAAGATGGCACTGTTTTGCTCCTTTCCAATTTATTGGCAGGGAGACTTTATCAATTCGCAGAATGATCCGGCGAGCGACGATAATATTATGTGGAAAGATATTGTCAGTTGGATGACACAGAAGAAAAGAACAGTGGACAGAAAGAAGCTTGTGCAGGAGAGTTCTCAACGTCAAACTCGACCTGGTAATCGCACAGGCGGTAGAGGCCTTCACCAAAATCGTTTTGGTGGTGGTGGTGGTCGTGGTCATGGTCATGGTCATGGTCATGGTCATGGTCATGGTCATGGTCATGGTCGACCAAGCAATGGTTATCAACCATATCCAAGACCCTCGAACTCTCCAAGATATTCTCAAGGGAATTCACAAGGTTTTCAACGTGGAGGCAATTCCCAGCAACAGAACCAAGGACGATTTCAGCCAAGAAACCCCAACAATGGTGGCAGAGGCCGTGGATTTAATGGCCAGGGCAGTGGACGCTCCCAATCTGGCCGTTTTCAGCCAGGACGAAACTATCAAGGCAGAGGCCAATCACAGCAACAACAGAGTCAAAACTACTATGCTGAGTCGCACTACAATCAAGAAGCTGAAAGCTTTGCTGCGGAAGGCAGCGTTCCTGAATGGAACCAAGACGGAATGTCTTATGGTGGAATGCCAAGTGCTGAGCAGTACCAGCATCAAGAACACTATTATCAAGCTGAAGAAAACCAGCAACCATGGAATGATCAATTCAACTTTGAACAGGAAGAATATTATCCTGAAGAACAGGAGGCGCAGGAACATTTTTCCTATGATGAGGATTCGCCTTTTTCCTTTCATGAAGAGCATTACTGACCCAAAAATACTCGTAAACTAACAGAGCTTTCTAAGCTTCCTAATCCATTTCTGGAACCTGATTTGTCTTCGTTTCTTTCAGCATTGGGAAAATTTGATGATGAAGATGGTCCAATAACTGAAGATGAGAAAGAGTTTCTTTTGAATGATTCTTTGCTTCGTATACCTACGCCAAAACAAGACGTAAATTCTATGGAGGATTCGATGAGAAAAAAGACACTTTCACCTACATCATTGGTGATTTGGAAGACAATTGGAGGAATTGAAAGTGGGAAAGTTTTACGAATATTATTTGATTCAGGAGGATCGCATACAATGATCAATGCGAGGACAATTCCTACAGATGCTAAGGTACAAAGTATTCAAAATGCGAAGAAGTGTACTACTGTTGCTGGTGATTTTGTTACTGACAGATGTGTGAAATTGTGGGACGGAGTCTTTCCCGAATTTGACAAACACCACAGAATCGCAGGTGTCGACGGTGTCAAGGCCAATGTCTTCGATTTGCCAACGTGTCCACATGACTGTTGGGATATGACAAAATATGAGTTTTTACGTTTCAAAAGAAACTATTCAAGTACAAAGTTTTCGACACGTGCGATCGGACTTTGATCGTGATGTCGGGATTCGACGTAAGTCTGCCGGACAATCTATATCCACACAAAAAGGGAAAGACCCAATACAAGTGGAATACCGATGTTGTGTACCATGCTGTAGGGCATAATACAAGATGTCCCAAAGTACTGTATTCAACACAGAATCCTTGTAGAAGTCGAATCAAGTTCTGTAAACAAGGGATTTTCCAAGGGAAAATTGTTGAACTCACTTTTGTGATTGAATCATCAATTCAAGCCAAACATTAATCAAATAGGAACAAATTCACTCAAAGTATACCTAACACAGGAGAACTATTGTCATGAAAGTTTTGTACAGTCAATTACAAATTTAGATTGCAGAGAGTTTGTTCTGAGCGCTAAAGGCACTCGCGATAGAGCACATTTTGCT